GGATGAGTGTGCGCGTCGCCAGCCGACAAGGTCCCACTCCGCTGCCGCCCATCCGTCGGTCCACTCTGCCTTCGCGCCCGTGCCTCTCCATACCCGCGTCGCCACGCCCACAGCACGCCATAACTCCACAACACGGCATGGCCTCGCAGCACGCGTCCGATGCGCTTGCAGGCGTGCCGCTGCTCTTCACGCTGCCGCCCCGCGCGGCATACGAGGTTGTCGAGACGCGGCTCGGCAGCAGAGAGGGCAAGACCGACGCGTCGAAGCCGGCGGCGAGCCTTCTCCTGCTGGGAATGGCCTGCCGCAAGCACGCAGATGCGGCAATCTGACCGCACGGCACCCGCTTCGGCAGGTGCTCTCCAACGGCGAGGCGCTGCGCGTGCCGCACTTTGTGACCGTGGGCGACCGCATCCTCGTCAATACGGAGGACGGCACCTATTACGGTAAGGCGGGGCCAGATGAGGGATGACGGCGAGGCCTGGTCACGTCTTTGCTCTGGGATTCCGTGATTAACACCGTGATAACGAAACCCCGCGTTTCTTGTGTCACGTGTGTTAATATCGACGGCCCGAGGGAGAAGCTTAGGAACGCGCCCGACCTGGAGCAGCGTGAGGGAGAGGTGCTCGCCGTTCTAGAGGCAGCAGACGACCACGTCAAGGCGGTCCGACGGCCCGAGCCACGGCTACGCGACGCCGCAAGGGACCGGGCGGCCAACGAAGCGCTAAAATGGACGCCGATGTCGTCACAGCGAGTCTTTCTCGGACACGTCCGGCCGGGAGGTGAGGCAGCTCCGCCGCCGCCGCCCTCGCCAGACGGGCTGGGCCTCGGCTCGGGGCCAGGGAGCGAGCCCATCGACGAGACGACGGGCCCGCTCGGGGCCCCAGACCACAACCAGCCGGCGGATGAACGCTGGCCGCCAGGAGACGAGAGGAGGAGAATCCCCTCCCTGGCCCCGCCAGATGAAGCCACAGCTGAGGACGCGGGCGAGTGGCTCGTACGGAGAAGCTCCCCCACCAGGTCAGCTCTGGACGAGGCCGCCAATAGACCCTGCGACGGTGTATCATTCACTTTATGC